GATGCGCTTTTAACGCTTAGATATTTCTGAATTATTGTTGTGATCGGATTCACATCTCTGCCCGATATTATTTCCCGTTTCTCGATTACGACCAGCAATTCCGACTATATCGCGAGTCCTGAGATTGCAATTTTCAAGAATGGCGGACAGGTTGCATCTCGGGAGACGAGCTGCCTCGTAAAAATCGCTTTCGCGATCCCGAGGGCGTAAGATCGGAAGTGAGAGACAGCGACGGACTTAAAGTGAGATGAAGAGAGGAAAATGAACGTGGTGCGCAAGAGAAGAAGAAGGAGAAGGAGAGTATCGCGGAGGCAATAAAATCACGACGACCAACAATACTGGCAGACTTGGCCTTCAGTTTCACCTTATCCTCTCGCGTTCTTTATTTCTCTTCTTCGCGATATTCCTTCTTTCTTCTCTTCATTGGTATCGAGGAACGTGTAGCCTAGGTCAATTTTATTTGCCATGTGCCCGTGCTTCGTATAGGTAATTCCAATGTGAAAGTTTTGAAATTTCAACTTTACGAGAGGTTACAGCGGAGCCCATCGGGAAATCGACCTCTATCGGAGGTCGATTGCGAGAAAATTTGGAGAAAAAGACGCAGTCACTCTTAGCAACTTTGCACCACGTTTGCTCACAAAACAAAAATTTACATTCGATCTGGAAAGCGAGAAAATGATTAAAACGAAGTGATTGATCATTTTAGAGACATCGAGTACTTGTAAAGTATATGAGTTTACAAACGTTCATTGATTTGACGGAACATCCCGAACATTCTCTTATTTTCACATTGATATTACAATTCTGGACTAATTTTTTATATTAAAAAATTTGTATTAAATTTATATTTAAAAAATTTGAAAATGACAAACAATTGAAAAATGTCCTGGAAAATCTATATAGTAATTCTAAAATTTGACTTTTTCATATTCATAAATATATAATTCTTAATTAAATCAGCTAATATTGGGTTGTCCGGAAAACTCGTGCCGATGTTGAAGGAAAATTGAAACGCAGAAAA